TTACTTTAGTTTTTGTTAAATTCATGTTGAGACCTACTTTATAAACTTAAACTTAGACATATCTGTAAAGGTTTATAACTCCCGTTTTATTGTTATAATAAAATAGTTAAAGTTATATAAAAATGATTTTTAAAAAATTTATACAGAGAACTAATATGTGCTAAACATTAGCAAATAAGTCAATGTCATTGTTTTCAAACATCCTGTCGATATATAGATAAGAAATTAGTAAGTATTATTGATCCTGAAACACTCTTATTTACTTTTCTACTGATAAGTTATACACATAGATAAACCATAAATATAGAAAATGTTCACTGTAACTTCCTTTATCTCATACACATATAACACGTGGTGAACTATTTGAAATATCGAAAAAAAATGAGTTCCAGAAGTTTTTTGAATGTGGTACTGGTGTTATGTTTAGTGTTTAGTGTAAACTCGAAATTTTCTTCTTACGAAACTTTTTTGAACAAATCCGGAAACTTATCGAAGGCCAATATTCTAAAGACTAAACAGAATTGTGGGCAATATCAAGTACAACTTTTTCCAGGGCATTGCCGTTCGATTTACTTTTAATTATGAACTGTTATGTGGCAATAATGGTATGTGATCGATCAATAACCTGAATTAGTGTAAATGCGCTTAAATTTAAAGTCAGTATTAGAATTTTGTTTTAAATTCATGTATAAAATAAATCTGTTATTCGTTAGAACTATACGCGTTGTATTGCTTTTGTAATGCAAATCCATTTACTCTAACTTTATTTCTAAATACCCCCACCTTAATATATTTTGATTCGAGTCGACCGATTTTGATGATATTTTAAGAAATATGTAGCTAAATTATTTGGCTTTTTAGTGTACCTTTCTGAATTAAAAATAAAAGTTTCCGTCTGTCAATTATGCGAGGGAAAACATATTGTTGATATTTTGGTGAAAATTTTAAACATCTTATGGAATATGTTAACAAATACCATTTTGTTTAAGCGAAAATGTCAAAAGTTGACGTATGATATGTCATTCAGTATTCAGAATTCAAAATGTTATTTTCTCTTAAATAAAGTAAAAAATCATTTTATCATCTAGGTATGTTTTTTCTCGAGTTTTTTTAAGTTTCAAATTCCTTGCTTTTTATCATCTTAATCATTTTATCATCTAGGTACGTCTTTTCTCGATAGTTTGTTTTAGATTTCAAGTTACTTGTTCCGAACTCTCATCAAAGTAACATCATTTTGTACTCACTTTCATTTTTAATTTAGAGATACTAAAAAGCCAAGTAATTTAACTAGAAATTGCTTTAAAATCATTAAAATGGGTCCACTGGATCACAATATAATAAAACTTTAAAATACATGCCGTTGAGTGTTCTAATAAGAGGACGTAGAACACTACACCTTTTCTAATTTTTTTCAGTTGAAAATATAAGTACATTTCAACCAACAAAAAAACATACTATTTCACATATATCGATAATATAACTGTGATAACTATGAGGTCATGAATAATGATCTTTTATCAGTAAACGTACTTTATTACAAACAGGAACGAGAAACACAATATTTCGTTTTATAAAACGCTCTTCTGTGTTGTTTCGTGTTTAAAGTTATTTTACAATAATTAATTCAGTCAAAATTGCTCAAATATGTCCTCCACGTATTGGCTGTGTATATTTTTATTCATATCAGTGACCGTTTGTACAAAAATGCTAACAACAGACGCGGGATTTTTGACCTACAAAGAGTTTACAGAAAACAACGGTTTTATCGATAAAAAAGGAAATATATTTGGTATAAGACAGTGTATTAAAGGTTTTGTGTATCTCAGAGGAAAATGTCGGAAAACTTTTAATGGAAAATGACAGTAAGTAAAATTATTGTTTTTGTTTTAGTAAATATATTTTGTTTCAAAAGTTGCTCCATCTGTTTCCTCTACGAGATTCTGTGATTGCACTTCATTTTTATACAAAGTATTCAAGCAAGCTTGTTTGATATTTTCAAATTAATTTGATGTATTAATAAATAAAAAATCGGTAAAAAAACTTTTAAGTTAAACGGTTTTATCTTATGTGCACTGAAAACTAGAAAATAATAATAACAATTAAGTATTTTGAACTTCTAGTTCAGAAATATTTTAGTTCTAGACAGAATAGCTTTTAGGCATATTAGACTAAAATAAAAACGTGGGGCCCATTAACTATTGCTGTAATACTTTCTTCTATACTAAGTGTGGATTGCATCGACTTACTATAATCGTAACTGGAGATTTTGACAATCAATAACCAGCCGTGGCGGCTTCACCAGCGAACGCCGAGCTCATGATCTACCAAAGTATAAAGATATGCTTTGCCATAGGTAGGATTTCAGAGGGGCCCCACGTTTTTATTTTAGTCTAATATGCCTAAAAGCTATTCTAGTACTAAACTATTTCTGAACTAGAAGTTCAAAATACCTAATTGTTATTATTATTTTCTAGTTTTCAGTGCACATAAAATAAAACCGTCTAAAATGCTTAGTTTCGGAGATACAGGGTGTAGAAATTTGATTTTTATTTCGATTTTTTCCAAATAATTTAAGAAGTAACGTCAATATTTGGATGAAAATTGGTTTCTGGCAGTTTTTGGACATGAGAAATTTGATTTTCATGTCAATATTACTCCTACTTGTAGAGGGCGCCACCTACATATGCTTTAACTGGTTTGAAGAGTAATAACTTTTCATCCATTCCTGTATAAAACTACTGAGTAAAAAAATATAAATATACAACATTTTTTACATAATAAAGGTCTCTTGGTAAAAAATCGCTACGAGTAATGGTTCACGAGATATTTGAAATTGAAATTATCAATACCTGAAATCTTTTTGTGCCAAAAGTCCAACAGAAACTGTTTAATCATTTTTTCGCAGAAAAATTTATGATTAATTTAAAAAAATAAACATTTATTATTTCAGTCAAATAACTCTATTCAACGTGTACTTATTTTTGTCAATAATGACATGTATTGACTATTTCTATTTTAAATATCTTGAGAACGGTTGCTCGTAGCGATTTTTACCAAGAGACATTTTTTACGTAGAAAGCCATGGAAATGTAATTTTTTTTAGTTAGTAGTTTTATACAGGTACCGTCGAAAAGTTATTACTCTTCAAAGCAGTCAAAAGGCATGTAGGTGGCGCCCCCTACAAATAGGAGTCATTTTGTCATTATAGTCATTAGTCAGTCATTATCACAAGACCACCAGACACCAATTTTCATCCAGATATTGACGTTACTTTTAGAAATTATTTAGAAAAAATTGAAATAAAAATGAAACTTCTACACCCTGTATCTCCGAAACTAAGCATTTTAAGACATACATTTATAAGAACTTTTTTACTTATTTTTATCTGCAGAATATGCTGCCGAAGTTTCCGGAATACAGTTCAGACTACCCTGTATATTGCTATCAAGGATTGCTATCCATGTATTCATGCATAGGCGGAGGTAGGGCCGTAAGAGTGGAAATTCATGAGAGTTCTGTTTGACGATTCATTTGAGATATTTGAATTTGATTTGAAATTTTGTGGATTTGCCAGTCTATACTGAGTTTGTTTTGGTTATTTACTATTTATTCTACAACTGGTAGTTGTTTAGAAGTACTACTACTTCCTTTAGCCAAAATAGATATTTATTGAATGATTTTGTTTTGTTTTTTCCTGATAGTGAAACACAAAATTTCATCCTAATAGGTAGATTATAATAATATATTATCATTCAGTGTATTACAATATTTTTTAAATGCCTTATCATTTTACAGCAGATACGAGCTTTCTCAGAATAGCGAAGCACCCTGTATAACTTTCTGAATAAGAATAAACCACATCCTATTTGATTCATAATATTCGTAGGTACAACAAACAAATTAACAAGAAAAAAGATAAATATAAACCTTTACGACTATTTGCTTATGGATTTGTTAGAACTTTTCAAGTATATTAGAAATTGTATGATATTCAATTTCACTAATCTGAAAAGCAAATCATTTTGACAAAATGCGTTTCAGTAGAATGATTATCATTCTGTGCAGTTTAATTATTTTGTTGATTTGTTCGATTTCTATTAATGATGTTCACGCAAAATTCGTAAAATACGAAAAGTTTTTAACAACGAAACCTGCTAAATTGGGACAGTTGATAAGAATAGTGAATTGTGCTAGAGGACATTTGCTTATGAACAGTCAGTGTTTGAAAACCTTTGGCTCAATGTAATAAGAATAAGTAATTATGTAAGTACCGAATTATTACAAACTTTTTAACATTTGTCATTCTCTTAATTAATTCATTTCCAATTGAATTTTTATTTTACTAATAATTATTAATTATGATTTATTGTATGATAGCTGACGAACAGAAAATTAGTGAATAAAAAAATGGTATGTTTACTCTTCATGTTCTTCAGATATCAATATTTGTTTCTCTACTTAATAAAAAGCAATGACTAGAAAATCTATAAAATTTTATAACGTCACTGGTTGGAAATAAATGCCAAACCGATATATATACATTACACCACTCAAAATCAACAAAGCATTTTGTACACCTATATGTAATTTCCTATTGTTCGAAAATCAGACTCAAGGCTGACCTTTTATGTGCTTTCTTTAGCGCGAATAAGCATAGTATGTAGATAAGTAGTAGAAAAACCATATGAGTAATTCTGATCTTACTGTTAATTTCTGAATACGTATAACTTTTTTAAGTCTATATCAAAATAAATTTAGTTGTTTCTTTGAGCGTGATCTATTTATATGATGTATGATTTGATAATATCCATAATTTTTTACACTGGAAGAAAATCTACAAACGAAAAAAAATCTCTTTGATGACATAAAAGCAATTTAATTAATTTGCCCTAATCCAGTTTAACATTGCTTTACTTCGTCCATAGATAAACAGGAATATAAAATACAGATAAGTGTAAAATACAATACAAATTACAATAAAATTCAGAGAAGACAAAATTCAATAAATTTCAGTGAGAACTAGTGAGGACATCGCGCTCAATATACACACACTGGTTCCCGTAGACCGTGTTAGGTACGGCGGTTAGTAAAAATTAATTTATAGAATAAAACGTATTATTGACTTCCAAATAAGATTTGATATATGACAACATTGTGCACGACTTAAAAAGTTACAGTTAGAACGGAATTACCCATACAGATTTTTCTCAGACTTGCCTGCTATTTTCGTAAAGAAAAATATAACGTATTGATGGCTTCTAATTATTCCCGACTCGTGTGATACCTGACCTTATACCACACGTAAAAATCAATTATGCTGCAGTTCGAACTGATGATTCTCATCTCGCAGCATCAGCACCAGTGATGTGCGTGATTTCGCTAAGGATAGTACTAGCAGTAGTATGTTCGATATTAATGTTACATTGTGTCAATCTAGTCCAAGCTAACTTCACAACTTACGAAGAGTTCGTAATGTCCAACGCACTCAAAGATGGTCAAGTTATAAAGATATTCAGCTGTGCCAAGGGATACTTGTTGAAAAAGAACAAGTGTATTAAGATATTCGGAAAATAGTAGGAACTAAGGTTTGTTAGTTTGTTTGTGTCTTTAATGTTGTAGAAGAAAATATAATATGGTATGAATAAAACTATTGTTCAGCTCTTTTAATTTCTAATCGTAAATTAAGTAAAATTAAACAATTTTTTTATCCAATTTTTTATTATCAGTAAGTTTTTACTCGCAACATATTTGCAAAAGCAAAACAAAAAAGCAAAACAAAAAAAATTGTCTTCAGAAGGAAAAAAATAAAAAGTAAAATGAAAACACATTTTAAGTGTCAAATGTAACTACTACAACATAATTTTAGATTTTTAGTACAAACATTATACGCTCAAGGACAGGAAAAACGGGTATCTTAAAATTTTGATGTATTTAAAAGTTTTATAATATATTGTGTTCCAGTTGACCGATATTGATGATATTTTAAGCAATTTGTAGCTAAATTATTTGACAATTTATTTTTAAATTCCTTGCTGAATTTACATATTCCAAAGGGGTTTTCAAACTGTCACAAAAATATCAACATTTTGTTTTCTCTCGTATAATTGAGAGATGGGAATTTTCATTTTTTTTTGTTTAGAGATACTAAAAGTTAAATAATTTAGCTACAAATTGCTTAAAAATAATTAAAATCGACCCACTAGAACAAAATATATCCCATCAAAAACAGAATGTAAAAAAGGAGGGCAAAAGGGGTAATCGCAACGCAATTCTTCCACTATGAAAAGTTGTGAGATCTCATGTAAAACCAAGTCAGTTTATTTTATTTTGCCTCTTTTAAGCACCTATTCAACAATTTTGTTAATCTCATGTAAACATGCATGCAACTTGATTACCTAACCAAACTTCTTTATCATTGAGATGTATATTTTTTATAAAAATCTTTATTGTCACAATTATCGCTTTCGAGTGATATCACAATTTTTTTATTTTTTTCAGTTTACGAATTATTATGAAATCTTATCTCAAATAAAAATATTACGTATTTCACGTCAACGATCTTACATATTATTTGCTCAGGCTCAGGTATAAATCAATATAAAAGATACATACACAATTAATTACTTTTGTTGGTTGAAAGCCGGGTCAGTCTAAAAGATCTATCGCTATTACTATATTATTCCGATCTAAGCAAAACAAACAATATGTCTGTACTTTTATTGTTCTTTTGTATTCTGTTCAGTGTTAACTATTCAGGTCGTTACGTGGAATGCGTGTTTCGATCTTACAACGAATTTCACTTGAGTAAATATTTACCAAACCTAAATCCTCAAACCGCTCATATCTTTTCGGTAAAACGTCGTTGTTCCAGCGGATTTATTTTTATAAGGAACATCGGATGCCTTAAAACTTATTCGTTTGTATACTAAACTGATATGGAACGAGGCGTTAGAACTGAAGGTGTAAGTTTATTAAGATATCTTAATCATTTTGTCTGTGATGATAAATGTATGTCTAAGCTAACTGTTTAATTGATGTGTTAAGTAAACATTATATTTTGTTTGTTCATTAGTCAAATATGCTTTTAGACATACAGAGTGTTTCATAAACATGTGTCGTCTCTTGTAGGGAGATTTTCCTCACGTAAAAATGTGATTTATTTTTTATATCAGTATAGGTCTAGTCTAATTCTGCCTTGTTTCATAGTTACAGGGGGTTAAAGTTTTCATTTATTTTTCGATTTATTATAATTTTCTTACAAGTGGTTTTAGCGATTCGAGTGAAATAAAAGATGCCGATTAAAAGTTGTATTTTGATATTTTGATGATTTTGATCTTCTTGTTTTCTTATGCAACCTTTCCTGCAACCTAACCTAATCTTCCTTCCACACAGTTTCAATAATATAATAAACCTGATTTTAAATGGTAACATGCTTCATAAGATATTAAAATATTAATGAATTTTATTTCTGTATGCATTTACTTTTAAAATAAATTTCTAATGCTCAATAATATTATAGTCCCATCAAAAACACAGTATGTAAGTCTCAATACAATTCTTCCACTATAAAAAGATGTGAGATCTCATGTAAAACCAAGTCAGTTTATTTTGTGTAGTTTCTCTTTGATAAGTACTTCAACAATTTTGTTACAAATTGTTTGTATCAATATTAGACATCTATATTTCTGTAATAATTATAATTACTTGGCAATTGCACAGCACCATAATTAAAAAAGAGTAATCTACCATTTCGATTACTAGTAAAATAATCGAAACCTAAGTAAATCTAAAGAGTGCCCTTAATAATAAAGTTTAATTAGCAGATAATATCATATCGTGCAATTGCCAAGCCATTTTACAGAAATAAAGATATCTAATATTGATACTAGCAATTTGTAACAAAATTGTTGAATAAGTACTTAAAGAGAAACTACATAAAATGACTTGGTTTTACACGAGATCTCATAACTTTTTATAGTGGAAGAATTGTATTGTTAGACTTGACATTTTTTACATTCTATGTTTTTGATGAGATTTTCATTTCTTTTTGTAGATTATCGTACATTGTACTATTGTATATAATTATCGTACTCTTGTAATATATCATAACTAGCGTGTACCAGCGATTTCGTTCGCGTCGAATTAATCATTTGTAATGGTGATGATAAAGCAAACCAAGAATTTCCATTAACATAGAAACTGGATAAAATGTTCTTACATTTATGTCAGCATGAGAAAAAAACAATATGGCGATATTATTATATAATTTGGTAATATTTGAGGGGTAGTTTCATCTCGTTGGAATTTGACTTTCGAAAAATCCGTTTGCGAAAAATAAGCTTTTTACGTCAAGCTGTTTAAGCAGAATCGTGGTTAAGAAATTGCCCAACTTTTTGGAACACCCTGTATGATTTTTTAAAAAATTTCAAAATATGTAAAAAAACCAAATAAATTATGCTTGTCCAAGCGTTTTCCCGAAAAACTAACCGTTTTTTAAATAACAAATATTGTAATATTTGAGGGGCGGTGTTTTCACCCTCTTGGAATTTGAGATTCGAGAAATCCCTCCTTATCGAACCTCTACACACCGCAGTCAATTCTTTTGCCAAAGATCAGCTTTAAACGTCAAACAATTTAAGCAGAATCGTGACTACCTAATGGTTATATTTTATGAAACACCTTTTATAAATTTTTAAAAAACCTTAAAGTATGTAAAACAACAAAATAAAATATACGTGTTTAAAAGTTTTTCCGAAAAACTCACCGGTTTCTAAATAAAAAATATTTTAATATTTGAGGGATAGTTTCACCCCTTTAGAATTCGAGTTTCGAATAATCCCTTCTTATCGAATCTCTACACCCTACACGTTTTCCAAAAATCAGCTTTTTACGTCAAGCGATTTAAGCAGGATTGTGATTAATCAATGACCTAATTTATCGAGACACCCTGTATACATTTTTAAAAAATCTTAAAATATGTAAAAAAAACAAAATAAAATATATGTGTTTAAACGTTTTTTTCGGAAACTTGACCGTTTTTTAAATAAAAAATATTGTAATATTTGAGGGGTGGTTTCATCCTCTTGGAACTGGAATTTCGAAAAATCCCTTCTTATAGAACCTCTACACCCTAGAATCAACCTGTATGCCAAAATTGAGCTTCTTACGTTGAGTAGTTTGAACAGGATCGTGATTAATCAGTATGTCAGTCACTTAAGGATTTTATATATTAGTATATAGATTCATAAACTTTGAATAATTAATGACTTGTGTTTCCGAAGTCATAATTTTACCAATGCTTGTTCAAAATCATGTTTTTGTCAATTTTTGTTTTATCTTTAAAACTATAAGATATAGGTATAAGATAGTATAATAGAGAAATTATATGAGATATGAGATAAAAAAAGTTTCCAAAAATATAATAATATACTAGGTGTTTCATTTAAATTAACAAAGATGCTACCACTTTTCAAATGATCCGGCAACACTGTAACGCTACATATAATAATTAAAAGTTCGCTGTACACATTGTGTATAGATTTTCTTCTCAATTTATATGGTATAACTACCCAAAGACGGGTAAAATCAAACATTTTAAACAAGGTGATATATTAATTTTCTGTTGTATTTTTGTTTCAGATATCTACATCGATTCAATGCCACCAACACTAAGAAAAAAATCTCTTAATTTAAGACCTCATTCGAATATATTTCAACTTAGTTCATAATATTTATCTTTTAGGTATTTTATGTTTGCTATTTATCAAAAGTTGTTATATTTATAAAAAATAATGTTTTACATATGTACAATGCCAAGTATAAGTTTGTTTTAAATGTGTCTTATGTGGAGCAGGTATTTTTGTTAAGAATAAGTTTAATAAAGAATAATATGTGTTTTGATAGAGTTATTTTATGTTAGACTTACTAGTTTATTATTACTAGTCTTTTTTTATTCTTCTGCATTTTCTAGTTTTATAGATTAACAAAAAGATATAACAATGATATTTCAAATCCCTTAAGGTTTTGATAATAAAAATAAACAATATTATACTTTGTACTCCCCTATATCAAATTACATTTATATCATAACGCCATTTACAAGAAAACTCATAACATTTTGAATCCTTCTACCATTTTTGCAATCAGTTTAATATGAATATCAGAATGGGTGTTTTCTCAATGGTTGTATTTTTAGTGCTGTTACCCATAGTAATAGAATCCCGACATATGAAACATCATACGACCCCAAGTGCTACAGAATCTTCTACTAACTTCATAGAAGCTTCTACCACCAGCAATCCAACCAAAGATTTTGCTTTAGGCAACATAATAACAACGAAATGCCGAGATGGTTATATTTATGTTCACGGATCCTGCAAGGAGATCTTTGGATAGCCAGGTCAGTATATTAATTTAGTTTTTTTGCTGAACTGCTAAAAAATGCTATAAAAACATTTTAATAATTATAATTATTTTCCCTTTTTAATTTTGCTCTAAACTATACTTTTCTAAGGTATGTATTACTAAAATATTGTGACTGTCATTTCATTAATACCATGTGAAACACGGCATAGGAAACCCCATGTAAATTTCGAAAAGTTCAAATATTATCTCGGCAAATAATTAATTAATAAATATTATCTCTCCTGATAATTCAACAACCCATTCTATTGTGTCCCATTATCATACCTTTAATACAGTTTTTTTTTATTTCAGGTGGACAGAATGGTTTGCTTGCTTTTGACATTAAGAAGATTTTTATATTAATATTTATCTATAATACGCTTTCCAATATTAACAATCTTTATTTAAATCTAATTATACAGGGTCAGTCTTAAATAAGAGCAAATGTTTTAGGGATTGTATATTTCGACCCCAGAAGCAGATTTGATCTATATGAAGTTTTATTCGTGCAAAAGAATTGAAAATTTGAAATTTTTTCAAATATTTTTGGAAATTTTATGAATCTTTAGTTAAAAAACATAACATATTTATAATATGGCAACATAGGTTGTAGATTAAATTTACAAGAAAAAACCCTAAAAATGATCCAGCGAGTGGTCCAATCAATGTTTTTTAAATTTTTACAGTACAATAACTCGGTTATTTTAGACTTATTTGAAAAACGGTAAAGAGAAAATATGTTTCTTTTATCAAGATCTGCCAGTCCTAAAAATATTTGCATTTATCTAAGCCTCACCCAGTGTAATATTATGTAATGCAAACTGGCGCTATTAAATATGTAATTATTCTTTAATTTGGTTTAGGTTTTTTATGTATTTTAAATATATGTGCAATAAGATTATTTTATTTTTAGTATACTTAAAATGAAAACTATCCAAAATTATTAACAACATTAACTTACAATTATTGGAATTTTAATTTTAAAATTTTGTATCGCCTAGCGCATTCGCCATAATTTTTCGAAATAGTTTTCAATTTTATTATAAAATACATGCTAAAAAGTGTAAAGATATTTAATTTTATAATGTAAATATAAATTTATAATACGGGATAACAAATTAAAAAAAAATATATATTTTCAAGTAACCAATAGATCTGATTTTAATTATATTTAAGAAGCCATTTATAAACAAAATAAACAATAAGAATAAAATTATTGATCAATTTTTTACTCTTTCCTTCGCCAAATTGTACAGATTTTTGTAGACTTTTTTTATTAGCTTCTAAAAAAATTTAAATCAAAACTATATCTTTTATGTTTTTAGGATAGTTTCTGTTGTATTTGTTAGAATATAATCACTGTTACTAATTGTTGTTGCTGCTAATAATGGTAAATTTTGCCAATATTTGAGTATATTGTCAAGGTCCGCGAATTATTAATTAAAAATGTGATAAATTCAATTTTTTTTGTTTGATTTAATATAAATTTAACGCAATTCTCACTTAAATTATATTACAGCGTTGCTAATTAAAAACTGTCTTTTTTAATTCTTTTGATTCAATAATTGGAACAAGGTTTCCATAATCGTGATAAAAAATGATCTGAAGACCTCTTGTGTTTGTCTTAAGTATGGATGCAAGATATTATACAATTCTTGACAGCATCGCCTTTTTATGTATGATATTCCGTAAATAATATCTATCAGGTGGTGCATCGGCGATGGAAACATAAGAATCCCTTGTAAATTATGAACTGCCCAAAATCTGGCTCTCCTGTTGATTTTACAGCTAAGTCGTTAATAGGTTTTTTAAAGGTCTACGTACGTATGTTGAAAATACCCAATTTGAATAAGTTTAGACAAACCGTGTTTAACTAATTACAGAACAACTGTATCCATTTCAAATTAAAACTGAACAGGTACATGCAAAACCAGACACATGTCAACATACCTTAAGTCCTCAATCTATGATTTTGTCAATTTGTTGTGCTGTTTACGCTACTACAGTTAATATTCCCGAAATGCATTTTTGTAATTTAACATTTGTTACACACAGACAAAAGCCTATAACGTTTAGGAAATACAATTTGACATTTACAAAATCATAGGTTAACAACTTAGTAAGGAATGTCGGCATTACCGTGGTTTTGCATTTTTACTTGTTCAGTTTTATTTAAAAATATAAGCATTTTTTCTTAAATTACTTAAACTCGGCTTCTCCAAAATTGTTCAAAGTTGGCATGCGTATTCAGCATAACCAAATCTTTAAAAAACCTGAAATCAGAATGCATTCTAATTACAGCTAGAAGTAGTAGAATAGAACAGTTCATTATGTTCGTAAACAATCTGCGAACCCTCGTATATATTTTAAAAAATACCATTATGGAAAATTCCGTCAATATTTCAAACAATCAGCTTCGAACAAGTGTGCATCTGTTTAACTCAGTCGTGTCAGTTGGCAGACAGGAACTATAATGAATATTAATTTGCCTTAGTAAAAAAACTCGAGGCAGTGAATCACAGTTTTTCGCATATTATTATTCTTAAATCAACCGGTTAAAAAATTGACTAAAAGATTTTTAAAGGATGCTCTGATTTACTTAATTATAGTAGATTATTTTATTTGACCAAGAAAGAAACTAAGAACAGGATTAGAAGTGACAAGACATTTATTAATTTTAATACTTTTAATAACTAACAATATAAACTAAAGTAAGGTACAGACAGAAAAGACATTGTAATAAAGAAGAATACATGTATGTAGAAGAATACATATATTTCGAACAACTAATTCACCGCTCGGGATCCCTACTACCTATCACTAGAAATCAATCGAAGAATTAAATTAGCATGGATTACTTATCGAAGAAACTCAATCATATTCTAATCTAGAATGCCAGTCATGACCTATGCATGCAAAACCTGGACTCTTAAAACGGATATTATAAGGAAACTGCAAGTCGCACAACGCTCATTGGAATGAAATTATGGTGAAAATAACCAAGAAAGATCGTAAAAGAATAGAGTGGACACAACAAAAGACCCAGATAATAGTGTCATCCAGAGAATCAAATCCCTCAAGTGGCAATGGGCGGGACACCTGGCAAGAAGGACGGACAAGAGATGGACCACAAAAGATACAGCATGGTTCGTAGAATTAAGAGACCTAGAGGAAGACCAAAACTGAGATGGGACCATGATATTAGTTAAATAAATATTTTGTGTTTCTATACTCATGTTTTTGTGTACACTCATTGGTACGAAGAATGTGCACCTTAAATTTTTGATGTATTTTAAAGTTTTATATATTGCGTTCTAGAGGACCGATTTAGTTGATCTTTTAGGAAATTTTTGTAGCAAAATTATTAACTTTTTAGTATTTCTTTCTAAATTTAATATGAAAGTTCCCATCTGTCAATTATACGAGGAAATACAAAATATTGTTATTTTGATGAAAGTTTGTAACACCCTGTGGAATAAGTTAAAAAAGCAAGAAATTTAAAAATAATTTTATCACATAGGTGCATCTTTTATCCATAATTTATTTTTTGGTTCATCTCAATAGAATTATTTTTTTTTAAGATATTCGCTTTTGAAGAAGATACTGGCATTTTTTCGTAATTTTTCCATTAAAACCATTTATTAATTTTATAATTTAAAGAGAGAGATACTAAAAGTTCAAATAATTTAGCTACATAATGCTTATAGTCATATAATAATATATATTAATTTAAATATATAAATATATAAATATATAAATATATTATTTAAATCATCTAAATCGGCCCACTAGAACAGATATATTAAACTTTAAAATACATCATAATTTTAAGGTGGTAGCTATTTTAACCGTTAATTGCTGTTTATGAAGAAGGCCAGTTCAGAGCGTTACAAGAATACCTTGGTGCATATATCGAATCATTTATGCAATCTTTTGATTAAGTATCTAACTAAAATGTAACTAAATAGAAATTAAAATCCAAGCGCATGTTATTAGATAATGTCGATGTGATTTTATATGACTTTTTCCATGTCACCCAGCGGTCAAATTTATTACAAATAATAATGCACATCTGAATCAAAACTAGATAGAGCTAGAACTTTCTAATATCTATTTTTTTTTCAATTGCCTAAGATTCATTAAGATGTAAAATAGAGGATACATTAACTATCGTTGAGTATTGTGCAATCACATGATGCTCATGTCGTATGACGGTTAAATCTTTGGTTAGAATTTTTGTTGTTGTTTTTACCTGTTTTTAGAGTTTTTACTTTATTTTTCTATTTACATCAGATTTATATTTTGTAATTGCCTATCAGACAATACGTATTTAGAAAAATAATAAGAATTAGGATCGTGTTTTTTTTTAAATCCTGTATATTAATTGGAACCCTTGATAACATTACTGCTTTTGATATAAAAAGTGCATTTTTGATTATTTACTTGGGCTAGGATATTAAAATATCGGTTGGATTGTACGACATAAATAGATGTAGGTATGATTATTTATATATATGTATGTATTTATAAAGCTTACTATCTGATTTGCATTTTCAGTTTTTGATCAGATATTTCATTTTATTTGTGAAATGCCCACAAAAAAGCTTCCAATGATTCAACATCAGTGTGTTTGCTGCATAATGGATCATTCCTGCTGAATTTTTAGATCATTTGAAGACTACACGGAAAAAACCAGATAATATGTTACATTTTCATAGAAATTGATAGCGAGACAATTTTATAGGCAAGTGTTAGCATTATTCGAGGCACCATCAAAGAAAGGAACAATAATATGCTTAGTCCCAAAGATATTACAGCTTAGTTATTTTGCCCTACAGGAGAAAAACCAGAGTAGTTCACTCGTAATTGCATTTTCTCGGCTCCAGTTAAAATGAACAAAGCTGGTTTTTCCTGTGGTCTTCATTTGAAATAACGTAAATAAATGTTTATACATATGTATGTGATGATTAAATTGGTGTTAAGGAAATAAAAATGTCTTTCGATATTAATATATATTTTTCGATATTAATATATACCTAGGTATAGGTATATGTATATTTATTTTGAAATAAATTACACTTTTAACAGTTTAATGGAGTTTTTAAAGCCAGTTATAATATTTATATTTTAAAAACTTGAAATCATAATGTGGATGTAATCACGCATTAAACCACAGACTAACTTATATAAGTCAAAAAGTAGATTTTAGTGTTAACTTTATATAACTTGTAAGTAAAATAATATATAAAACAAATATGAAAAAACCAACAATTCTAATGTATATATTAAAATACAGTACAATAATAGGTATCTGATATCCTCACTTAACGTAGAATAATATTCTACCCAACTCAATACTATGTCCAACATGAGTTTCAAATATATCGGGCCCTAATCGTTCCTGAAAATAGTATTTTTTTACATTGTTATACCATATTCTAAACTATTTAATATTTCAGTCACTTAAAAAGTTAATTTGTATTGAATAATTGCCTACCATTAAAGCAAATTTGGACTAGTATTCTTAATGGGCATATTCTGTGTATGGATATAGGTACTTCCTCCAGATTTTGGGTTCAACCAATTTATTCTTAAAACCTGAAACATCTACATATAAAAAATAGACAGGTTACTAATTATAATAAAATTTACCCTTAGAATTATACTTCTTTAACAAATAATTTCCATTGGTATACTTTTCCATGACAAGTAATCAACTTCCTAACATTTTTTAATTGATGTAATACTTCCTCACGATGCGAAAAGAAAATCTTTTCTTTAGCACACAAAGGACAAACGATATGTTGGCTTACTTTCAGATTAGTTACTTTTCCATAGATATCCTCATGTCAATTCAAAGACGATGAACATGAAAATGATCATCACATGAAACATCACAAACTAAAAACCTAATAAACAAGTTTATATCGAATATAGAAATAAATTTAGTCTTCTTACCTATTGTCGTCCAAATCCACGTTAATAGATAATTAATTTTTTGGATTTTTATCTTTTATTTTTAAATATATCTTTCGAACTACTGGTTTTAGTAATCATTAAATTAAACGTACTAAAAAGTCAAAAATAATAAACAATTAATTCTCTTGTCAATTGTCAATTTTCTCCAGGCACCGAACATTATCGATAACGCACGATCTACGACGATTACTCCTTTGATCTGATTGGACGGTTCAATGACGGTTGGTTGCGTATTTTAACAGGGCCATGTAAGTGAAATATTAAAAATGGTTCCAGCAAAAGTTTCCCAATTATGACGGATGATGGCGCTGATCGTCAAAATTTTTGGACAGGGATTTTGCTTACCGACAATACGACGTGAGCTACGACCGGACCAGGACCAATCAGAATGATCAGTCTTTCTTGGACATTTGCCGCGGAAGTGTGTGTTAATTTCTGTTGTGATAAGTGTGGTTGTGTTTGCAGTTTGATTTCTCGGTTTTGATATTATGTTAAAATTAATTTTGAAGTATTGTATCACCTGTTTTTATGTAATAGTACTTTTTTTAGTTCTATGATCTGATATGTTATGATTTGTTAATGTTTGTTTAACAATGTTATACCAAAGAGGTTATACTTAATATACTTATGAATTTGCATAGCCTAACTTTTTTATCAATAAACTTCAGATTATTTAATTCCTTTTGTTTCCGTTTGTAATTTTATTTTTAAGATATATTATGTGATTGTTTCACATAATATGCTTTAAAAATAAAATTGCAAATAGCGAATAAAAATAATTAAAATAAAAAAGTGTATTTTACAATTCCCCCCGGCCCCGCACCCCTTTGGCTAACCTATAATATCAGCTATGTCGAGAGATGGCGTTACGAAAATGGAACCTATGGGGACTGGTATTGTCATCTCACTTTAATCTTTGTTTTCTCTGTCAATTCATCTCGATTGGAGAGGGTTGGCAACACTGCCCGGGAGTGAGCAACAAGAACGAAATCGACACACATCACTTTGTATAATGCTGATGTAAATTGAACATTTTTTGTAGGAAATAAAGAGTTAAGTTTCTCGCAGTGTTCAGGATTATTGCAAGTTAAGTGCGAACATCCCTCTGGACCCTACATTTGGTGACCCCGACGTGATGGGTGTTGGTTGTGAGTGATCAAAGTTCTCACTCCTAAGGAAGCAGTTTAGACGGCCGATCGGGCATATATTGGTGTTGCTGCTGTGGACGATCTGCCTGTGGAAGTGCCCAATGTGCCTGGGGGCATCCAGCAGGAAAGTGCAATTTCTGTTTTTCGTTATATTTTTTTTTGCACCACGTGAGTACCAATAACCTCCCAAGGGCTACATTTTCCCGCCAAATCGCCGAAATTAGCCAAGGCCAAGCCTTCCTCAACGGTCAAAACTTCCGCTTTTGACAAGCAGGAATCTGCATTACCCACAGTGACAGTTGACAGACCCTAGTTGACGTCTTTGACATAAAGTCAATTACAGGATTTTGTAATAGAAGTTTTTGATCCTGAACATAGGCAAATGTTTTGACTGAGGTGCAGTTTTGGTTGCCTATCGACTTCTGTCACCGTTATTGATTTTTTTTAATCAGCTGTTCGGCTCAAGTGATATCTGACAGTTCGTTTTAATTAAAAAAAAAAGAGAATTATTTATCCCTTTACCTGTTTTTATTAGGTTTAAGAGCATTATTTGTGGAATTTTTAAGTAAGTTTTGAATTTTTGGTTATAGTTACGTAATAGAGACGTTCTAACAAGTGCATAAACATAAACATTGCATTATCCTTGCAAATCTTTTACTTATTGAGCAATTTATGTACTTTGTTATAATTTGTTTTATATGTGTTTTATAGATTTCTAAGCAATATGTCACTTACTCCGAAACAAATTAAAACAATCATTGATGAATCTAAAGCAGCCCAAGAGCGCGTTCAACATCTTGAACAGGTGTTGACAGCAAACATGGCAAGGCAACAGGTTGATAGTTACCGAGTTCCGAAAATTCCTACATTCTGTCGGGCTGATCCTGCACTGTGGTTCATGCAGGTAGAAATTTCACTTCGGAATGCTCGGATTACAAGCGAAACTACCAAAGCTGACAGTATGTTAGCAGCTCTCGATGTTGAGGTACTTGGCAGTGTTAAGGATATCATTGCCATGAGTCCACCTCCTCCTGACATTTTTGAAAAGCTCAAGGAAAGAATCATTAAGACATTTGCTGTATCTAATGAAGCCAAGCTGAGACAACTTTTAAAGGGGCAGGTGTTAACAGACGGTAAGCCATCCTTAATTTTAAGCCGACTTCGCAATCTTAATGTTAACAACGCGGTTGATGATTCAATTCTCAAGTCATTATTTTTAGAACAGCTACCCGAGCAGCACCGAGGCATTGTCATATCAAATACGGCAACCTTAGATGCCATGGCTGAGTTGGCTGATCAACTTGCGGATATTTCTAGCTCGTCTCCGTGTAATCCTCAAATTAATGCTGTTAATGCTGAGCTTTCCGCCTCCCAGGCGCAAATTCAGTCACTAATTGAATGCGTAAAAGGACTTACCGTTAAAGTAGATGCAATAGAGCGACAATCGCGGTCGCGTTCCAAGTCTAGAAGTAACTCTCGGTCGCAAGATAAATCTCGGGATAAAGAAAAGCCTAATTTGTGTTATGCACACCGGAAATACCCCGAAAATCCAACGTCGTGCCGAAGTTGGTGCACGGAGTATGCGGGTTGGAAAGAGAAAAAAAACTAAAGGTGCCTCCCCGCGCGGCGACAGTGGTGGAGGGTACCAGTACGTCGTGTCGTCTTCACATTCGCGATAGAAAAACAGGGCAATATTTTTTAGTCGATACGGGCGCGGACATTTCGTTAGTTCCCGCTGACTTAAAAATTAAAGTCGCACCCGCTAAACTTAAACTTTTCGCGGCTAATGATACGCGCATAGACACCTATGGCGAATCTCACCGCGAGTTAGATTTTGGGTTGCGTCGACCCATCAAGTGGAACTTCTGCATCGCGGCTGTGCCTTATGCCATAATCGGAGCAGACCTTTTAAACCACCACGGGTTAATTGTCGATTTAAAAAAGCGGCGGGTTATCGATTCAACAACCGGTAGTTTCTCGCTCGGAAATTATAGCTCTGCGTCGATGCAATCAATTCATTGTTTTAATCCGAATATTTCAGTTTCACATTTGTTGGCAAAATTTCCTGAAATTACTGGCGCATGTTCACCATCACCTCCGGTAAACCAGAGTGTTTTTCACCATATTATTACAAGCGGTCCACCCGTTGCTGAGCAGGCCCGTAGGCTTACACCAGAAAAGCTCAAACATGCCAAAGCGGAAATTAATGCGCTCGTTGAAGCGGGCATTTGTCGCCCATCGAGTAGTCCGTGGGCCAGCCCGGCACAAATGGTGATGAAAAAAGATGGTACATGGCGCCTATGCGGGGATTATCGCCGGCTAAACGCCGTCACAATTCCCGATAGGTATCCGACCCCTCATCTTCACGATTGTTCTCTAAACCTAAGCGGTAAAACGATTTTTTCGTCCTTGGACTTACAAAAGGCATACCATCAAATTCCAATGGCGCCAGAAGACGTAAATAAAACAGCAATTATAACTCCTTTTGGTTTATATGAGTATTTGTTCATGACATTTGTGCTTGCGGAATGCTGGCCAGTCATTCCAAAGATACATTAATCAAGCTTTGGGTGATTTGGATTATGTGTTTATTTATATTGATGACATTTTGGTAGCATCATCGTCTTCCAAACAACATTCTATGCATTTAGAGGTAGTGTTCCAGAGGCTTAAAGAGTTTCACCTCCGCCTGAACGTTGATAAATGTGTTTTTGCCGTGCCAGAATTAGAATTTTTAGGTTACTTGATTAACGAAAAGGGCACTCGACCCACAGCTGAGAAAATCGAGGCAATATGTAAGTTTGAGAGACCTAAAACGGTCGCCTCCCTGCGCCGGTTTCTTGGAATGTTAAATTTTTATCGGCGATGCCTTCGCAACGCCGCAACTACTTTCGCCCCGCTCAATACGTATCTGGTAGGTGCGGGGAAAAACGACCAACGGGAAATAGTGTGGACTTCGGAAGCCACGCAAGCATTCGAAAAAGCAAAAAGCGATTTGGCAAACGCAACTCTTTTGGCCCACCCTCGTATCGATGCGGATATTAGACTGGTTACGGACGCGTCGGATTTTTGCATGGGAGCAGCTCTAGAGCAGTCTTTTGCTGATGGCTGGGAACCGTTAGCGTTCTTTTCCCAAAAATTCTCGCCCGCCCAGACTAAATATAGCGCGTATGATAGGGAACTCACTGCTGTTTACACCGCGATTAAATATTTTAGACATTTTTTGGAAGGTCGCGAATTTCGTGTGTATACCGACCACAGACCGTTAATATTCGCATTTAAACAGCGTAGTGATAAAGCGTCGCCCCGTCAATTACGGCAATTATCTTTTATTTCCGAATTTACCACGGAATTTGTCCACTTGGCTGGTGCTGAGAATGTAGTGGCCGATTCACTTTCTCGAATAGAGGCCCTCCGATTGCCTCTAGAATTTGATTTAAATGAACTTGCTGAGCAACAGGTGGTTGACGAACAGTTAACAGCCATTAAAACGTCTCAGGACCACCCGTTAAAACTCCAAAAAATCCAGTGGGGACCGGACAATGTTGCACTGGATTGCGAAATTTCGGGTGAAGCAATTCGTCCATACGTGCCTAAATCGCTTCGGGAGAGAGTTTTTCGCATGGTGCACCACCCAGCACACCCCAGTGCTAAAGTCACCGATCGCCTTATTCGTCAGAGGTATGTGTGGCCAAACATGCAACGAGATGCTAGGTCATGGTGCAAAACCTGCACGGACTGTCAGGCATCCAAGGTAACTAGACACGTGAAAACCCTTCCAGATCAGTTCGTTGCCCCTGATGGTCGTTTTGACCAAGTACACATAGATATTGTGGGACCATTACCACAACATGACGGCTACATGTACTGTCTGACGATGGTTGATAGGTTTTCGCGCTGGGTGGAAGCAACCCCGATTAAAGATATGTCAGCAGATACGATCGCTCGCACCTTTTTCAACACGTGGATTTCTAGATACGGGTCGCCCAAATGCATCACGACAGATCAAGGCTCACAATTCGAATCAAGATTGTTTCACGCGCTATTAAATCTGATCGGAACGCAACGTATTCGGACTACACCGTATCATCCCCAATCAAACGGCCTAATCGAGCGTTGGCATCGTGTCTTCAAAGCGGCCATTATGTGTCATGCTAAAGAAAATTGGGTCCGCATACTTCCAACAATTCTGTTGGGTTTGCGAGCCCATGTTCGATCCGACACTGGGGCCTCCCCAGCGGAATTTCTGTTTGGTACCACCTTGCGACTTCCGGGTGAATTTTTCCTCCCAGAAGACATCACACCGGACCCAATGTTTTTCATAGAAGAATTTAGAGAGTATATGCGCCAGGTGCGAGCAGTTCCAACTGCGCACAAAAACAAAAATAGAATCTTTTATTTTAAAGAATTACACGAATGTTCACACGTATTTTTGCGCAACGTAGCCAAAAAGGCTTTAGAACGCCCTTACTCAGGCCCGCATAAGGTTGTCCGTCGCGTTTCTGATCGCGTGTTCGAAATTGACGTAAATGGAAAAGTTAAGGCTGTTTCCGTGGAATTGTTGAAACCTGCCTTTTTTGTGCCTGATGATCTTGATTCTGCAGGTGCCTCTACAGCGACTAGCCAGCCAGTATTAAGAACATATTCGCGCTCAAACAAAAAGGTAACATTCGCACCCAACACAAAGTAAAGATTTCGTGTTTTATCGAGTTTTCTTTTTCTTTATAAAGCTCGATCAATGATTGTCGTAATTTGTTGTTCCTATAGCGCAATATTTATTTATGTGAAATACATGTTTTTTTCTTTTTTCGTTTTTGTTGAAAGATAAGTACTAATGTACCTGTACTGCGTACCTTTTCTAAGTTAATTTTTAAGCCAAATTTTGTTAATTAGTTAAGTTTTTTTTTGTGTGTCGTTATCACTGGAAGGGGAGTGTATGGGGACTGGTATTGTCATCTCACTTTAATCTTTGTTTTCTCTGTCAATTCATCTCGATTGGAGAGGGTTGGCAACACTGCCCGGGAGTGAGCAACAAGAACGAAATCGACACACATCACTTTGTATAATGCTGATGTAAATTGAACATTTTTTGTAGGAAATAAAGAGTTAAGTTTCTCGCAGTGTTCAGGATTATTGCAAGTTAAGTGCGAACATCCCTCTGGACCCTACAAACCGATTTATTACAAGGAACTTGGGCTTCTTTTTCGTTAGTATATTCTGTGTATTTTAATGTATCCTGTAAAATAGGACAGTTGGTTATAGATTGACGACCGTTTAAGCTTTTTTTTTCTTTACGATATTTATATCTATCTAGGCTAGATAAATTGCTAATTTAAAAGTAAATAATGTTCAATTGGACATAGAAGAGCGAGCCTGCAGAACGAAATATTTTCTTTGCTGTGTGTTCATTCTGAAAAATATTTTCTTCTCAAAAACACAATAGCAAAAGTGGTATAAATTTCGGCAGAGTCAAATCCATCGAAGTTTTCTATAAAGGCAATATTGTGAATGGGATTGCCGTGAAATACGAGCTCGTATATCACGATCTTTAATGCTTGAAATTATTTTAAATCATTTCCGCCGGTGTAAACTCTCATGGAATTGGTAAGAAGTATTGTAGCTTTGTCCAGAAAAACGATTTTTTATAAAAACCAAGCAAAATATTTCTGAAATTTTTGTGCGCAATTCTTGGATATTCTCACAGACCGGCATTTTTAAATACAGTCCAACCGAAATAATTACATCTTAAAAGTTTTTATGACGCCGAACTTTTAAATCGGCTTTTTCTCCGATAGGCCGTATAATCTTTTTAATTAGTTTATCACTAATAAAGTTTTCGGAGTTGAAATTATTTCGAGAGGGTGTTACCACATAACCATTTATTACTATCCCTACCTAGAATTACTCAAAAGGAATTTTTATCTAGTCCCTTCATCAATTTCGTTGATGTTATTTTTTAACTAAATATGTCAATCTTCTGGGTTCGAGGGTTCCGCACAAATTTGTGGGTACATGTATAAATAGACTTTAAATGAAGACTTCAATAATATGTCCCGATTGTCTGTACAGACGGAAAAACTTTTTTATTATGGACATTTTGCTGACTCTTATATTACGGTTTTAATTTCAACTCGATACCTCCACGCGATCCCGAGATAAAAGGTCTTGAGAGAAAGACGGACAGACAATAAAGTGATCCTACAAGGGTTCCGTTTTTTTCCTTTCCAGGTACGGAACCCTAAAAACAATTTTTGACAATTTATCTCCTAAGAAGCGAAGGTTCGGGGTAAAAATTTCCATAAAACCTCGTGACGCGCTGCCTTTAGATACGTCAAAGTTGGCACAAAGGTGCAAAAAAGACTAAATACCCCAGTGCAGTTATGAAATTTACCATGTTGAAATTGCGAAAATTTTTAGAAAGCTGCAACTATTGAAAACAGTTAGCATTAGTATCCCTTATTAACATACTAAAAGTCCCCATTTGTCCGGTGTGTGCGTCATCAAAAAAAATCGGCCGCCATCTTGAATTTTTGTACTTTTTGGGAAAAAATGTAAATAACTCGAAAACGATGCGTTATAGTAAAAAACTTCAAGAGGTAAAAATTAAAGAGAATAAAAAACTCTA